GAATCAATCCCATCCCATACTTCTTTTGCTGCACCTCAAGCTTTCTTCACATGGGTTTTCAAAGGTGTTCCATTGTGGCTGCCTTTTGCTGCCAACTCATGTGGGTTTTCTTTTGGTTGCTGGAAATAAAAGATTCTTCTAAACCAGGCTTGGTGTAGGAAGGCCTGAGGTTTCAATATGTATCCAATATGGCTCAAATTTGGATATGTCATAATAGACACCCATTGGAACAACGTTTATGAAGAATGTATTCCCATCTGAGTAGTACAAGTGTACGTTTTGGGCTTTGCAAGTTGACTGCTGAAAATAGACTGGAATGTATGGTGTGCATTTTGATGGGCCCACGGATTGGGCTTGACTTCATCAATTGATACGTTTTAGCAATCCATCTTGCAGTTCAGAATCTCTTCTTTCCAACCACATATTAATTGGGCCAATACAAGTTGGGAGGAGGAAGATAAGGCAGAAACAAATTGCTAACTCAGTATGCTCGTTTTTGCACCATTTTGCATCTTTTCCTATCCAAAGCCACCATTGCTACCTAAGGCCCAATTGACTGAATGATAAACAGAAAAGGGATTAAAAGCACAAGTTTAACTCAATAACATAACCAAATCATAAGCTAGAGGGGCACAAAATGATATACAATTATGAACTGATCACCTGTGCGGTAGCGCCCCTGGTTTAGTGTTACTTAATCATGTACTTTGTTTTTAATTAGGGTTGGCAAAAAACCGTTCAAACCATTCAATTTGTCTAATATTTATTTATTTATTTATTTATTAAGGGAGATAATCGAACAAAATTGGTCACTTAATGAATTGGTTTGATACAATTATGCTATTAATTTGAGGCATAAACCGAACTAAACCAAAAGTTAACATTGGTTCGGTTGTGATTTGGTACTTTGGAGGGATCGTTATGTTCAAGTCTCACAAGCTGTATTGTTACACCTTTCCATTAGAGATGGCAATGGGTCGAATCGGGGGTGGGTATGCCATTCCTATCCCCATCCCGTTAAGCTTTTTTCCCCCATCCTCGCCTTCATACCCGCAATATTCATATCGGGAATTCCCCATCCCCACCTTCGTTGGGAAATGGGTTCCCCTACCCACCCCATTATGAAAGAAAAAACCAATATATAACTACTTTGTTGAAGAAAAAAAAGTACTAAGGCAAGATAATGAATCTATATATATAAAGCAAAAGGCAGAGAATGGTGAAACATTCAAAATACCAGAAAATGCCCTTAGTTAATGCAAACATTAAGAATTGAAATTATTAATTAAATGAGGATAATATGTTAAATTCACACTTTTTCATATTTAAAAAAATTAAAATTAAAAGAAAAATTAGATAATGGATCCTATTTTTATGGAACACAACTACCCATTATCTTTTTTAATTCTAAAATAAATTTAAATTTTTTTCAAAAAAACCTCTCGCATGCGCGGAAGCACGTGCAGAGAGGCTAGTATATATAATATATACTTATAAGACTGTTAGATAAAAAATGTAATAACATAATTAAAAATTCACCCAACATAATCTCACTCTTATTTATCAATAAGAGTTCTTTTTGGTTTACCAACATAATCTCACTCTTATTTACCAACGTAATTAACAAAATTATTAAAGATGTTCTAGTAAATGTCGATATACGATCATATTTCATGCTGATTTTTTGGTTTTGAATATGGAAGAAGATTTAGAGACATAACTAATTTTTTCGCTAGTATTCTTCTTCCCTTGGCTTGGTGTGGTTTCTCTATCCATTTTTTGCTATATTTTTTTATTTTGGGGATTTCACCCATGTTGAACTCTTCTGGGTGTGCCATTGTTTGGAGGTTCAAATGATTTGAAGCGGACGGTGTGAAGGCTGCAATATACAAATTAGGGCTGCACACGGTTCGATAATCGTGGCTTGGAAGAGTTGCCGACCACCGAACCGGACGTCATCGGCGTAGCTATTTTGGAGACCGCCACCGCGCCGAGGAGAGGTAAGACCGACTACAATCGGCACACCGAGAAGTCGGTGCAGTGCGGTTTGGTTCAGCGAAGGATTGAACTGAGATTGAGGCAGAGGATTGAACTGAGATTGAGGGCTTGAAGACCACTTCGTGGGAGGAAGAAGAAGAAAAGAAGAAGGAGAAAAGAAGAAGAAGAAGAAGAAGAAGAAGATGCAGCCTGTGGCGGGAGGAAGAAGAAAGAAGAAAAAATGGAGGAAGAAGAGAGGAAAAAGTGGAGAGAGAAAAGAAGAAAGTTACGGCTGGGAGAAAAGAAGAATAGGAAAAGGAGAGTTCGTGGGGCAGGAAACCTAACTTTTTTTTTTAATGTTTTTTTAATTCTTTTATATTGTAATAAATATTACAATCATACATGCATTTTACAAGAAGACGCATCAGTCCAGTGGAATTTGGGCTTTGTGTCTCCACCTTTAATAGAGTTCAACTCCCATTAGTGCACTTGCTATGAATTTTTAGACAATTTACATGGAAGCGGTCTGGTTCGGATTTCGACGGTTTGAAAAAATTCAAACCGGTTCACCATCGGGGCGTCGGCAGGTTTTTCTGCCGATTTCAATAATTTTAATTAAAAAAATCGGACCAACCCACTAAAACCGGTCCAATTCAGCCGGTTCAATTGGGTTTTCGGTATAAATGTGCAGCCCTAATACAAATCCGTAACCAATCCACATAGTGGGACTCCGTAATAGTGAAGGCCGCAATATATATTTGTTTCAACAATAGGTCTTTTCTTTGTCAAGACAATTTTTTAATTTAATTAATCAATTTTCCAACGTAAAAAGAATTAGTTAATTAAATTAAAATCCATGTTGGAAGGATGTGATTGGTGAAAAGAAATCCACCACAGCAGGTTCTCCAGTTTTTTTAAGGTGGTTTTTCTTCAGAACTTATTATGGATGGTTGGATCAAAATCATTTAAATCCAGCCGTTGAAAAACCGGTTAGAATTTTCGCTGGACTCCAGAAACCCTAGCTCTTGGTCTTGGGCATCAGATCGGAGCGCTCTGTCTCCCTCCTCCCTCCCTCTTTCTGTGTGTCTCATAAAACCCCAGCAGCTTCCCCCCTCTTTTGCATCGAATCGATGGGCAGTATTGCGGGCGATCTTCGTTTCCGTTATGAAGGTAGTATGATGCATTTGACGCCTTTCCCTGTCTTATTGGGCATTCCGTTGGAGATCGAATACGTTAGTGATATGGAGAGCAAAGCAAAGTACATATTATTGTGTGGGAATCAGAGTGGTTTCATTGAATTGGCCAAGGATAAGGTTGACGATACGTTTTCTTGTATCCTTGTGCACACAGAAGAGCCCGCCACGTACTGGGCGGTCGACTTTGTAAAGAAGATGAAGGAGGATTTGGGTCTCCCAGTGTTAGCTGTCGGGGACAGTAGTCCACTTGCGGTGAAGAGTTTTTCTCATTTCGTAGCAGGAGGATGCGATATAAAGTGGTTGGGACTCCGACCTAGTGATCTGGAGAGCACTGGTTTGTCTGAAGGGTGTATGCTGGTCATGAGGAAGGCTGATCTTGCCTAGTGATATGGAGAGCATTGGTTTGTCTAAAGGGTGTATGCTGGTCATGAGGAAGGCTGATCTTGAGCTAGCGCAACATCTGTTGGAAGAAGATATCGTCAAGGAGAAGCCGGAATGGGTTAAGGAGCTAAAGATAATGGTCAACACCCAGCGCAAGGTAGAAATTGAGGCATTGTTCTCTATTGCGTGTTATTACATACATATGTGTGTGTATGTCATTAACTGATGGGACTCCTTCATGAAATGCAAGCCTAAACTCATTAGGTTCTAGTGTTTTTCATTAGTTTCCATTCAAATAACTTCACGTATTTCTTCTCTGGATGATTATTACATACATATTGGTGCTTCCATGAATCATCAACTGGCTGATTCCTTAGGACAGAGCTAAGAAACTAATTAGTTTCAAACAACTGTGTAGTGTATGTCAATAAAATTATTAATTTCATGACTTCCAAGTCCCAACTACGTAAACTGGATCTCTTTTGTTTTATTATGTTGACAATATATATTTTTAATTGGCAAACTTTTAATTGGATTCGACCCCATTTATATAGTCTTACTATATATATTTTTAACCTTGGATGTTTGTTCTTGGGTTGAATATATTATGCTTAAATATAGGTTAAATTAAATTCGCCAGCTCTTTATCTCATGTAAAATCATGCCATTGCACCAATTGCTCGATTTATATCCTTGGAACTCTTGTAAGCATGCATGGACAGCTTAAAGGGGGAAGAATAAAGGTTCTATTATAATGTTCATTCATGGTTATTTTATTATATTTGGGTTGTCCCGTTGATGATCTTTCCTTCGGTGATGGTATTTTCTCCTGCTACTTGTGCTATGTTGTTCTGCATGGCACGACGCTTGCTTGGGCTTAGTGTCTTTGGTTTTTGTTTTTTGCTATATTGTGTTTTGGCTTGTCAAGTTTTACTGTTTGCTTGTGAGGTGGTTCTGTTTTATTAGTTTTTTTATTTTTTCGCTCGTAGCCTTGTAGGGGGTCTTGTTTCCACCTCATGGTGGACCTGTTATTTGCTTATTCATTTCAAATACTCTGCTTCATCTGGGTTTATTATATGTTGGCTTACAATTGTTCATCTAGTTTTGTCTTTATCATAAGTGGTCCACAAACTTTTTTGGAGTTCTCATTTTAATCCTCCAAATCTCAAAATCAATTATGGCATGTTTATGAATGGGGAAAGTAAGGCATTAGGGTAAGGCTGTGGGGTTCAACTGGGTTTGCTCCCTAGTTCGAGTCCCATCAGTTGCAACACCTGGTAGCCAATAGCAGGCTCAGTTCCGCGAGTGGGGATTAGTTGAGGTGCACGCAAGCTGGCCCGGACACCTCATGGTAATTACCAAAAAAAAGTAAGGCATCAGGGAATTATGGCATGTTTACTTATCATAAATAGAAATTGTAAAGTTGTAAAGTGGCACTTAATCTTTTGGTCTATGCATCTCCTTGGTATGTGTGGCATTCCATAAAGGTTATTTTTCGTAAAAATATAGCTCATCCGCAAATAAGGTCACATGCTCTTTATTCAAAGCTTTGTTGAATTTGTTAGTATATTTTCACAGCTCAATGTTTCTGGCGTTCAATTCTTGAATGTGCACTCACTCAATTTTTTGTAAAAAATAAAGTCAAAAATCTTCAATTGTTCAATGAGCACTAACTTTAATAAAGACAAAAAATCACGCAATGGCCTCGTTTGTTGGGGAGAATTAGACTAGGCATTTGTTCCTACATTCTATTAGTATACTCCAACCTCAATGTACTGCTAGCGCGTTCAATTGTTCAATGGGCACTTAGACAAAAATCACACTATATCTATAAGACCCATATATAGACTCCAAAACATCAGACCAAAAAAATTTACTCCAAAACAAAAGCTACGACAAGATACTTGGAAAACAAACAAGGGCACAACACAAGAACAAAAGTAGTTGCAAGCAGAAGTAGAAAACCATCCACAAAAAAACTTGGTTACAAGCTTTGGGCTTGAAGTGGAGGGCTGCTAACTAGCTTGTCGTTTGTGTAGCTAGACAATGTAAATCAAGTATTCATATCTTATTTAACAATCTAAGATATTTACTTTATCTAAGGACAACTTACCTCTGGATTTATTTTTGCAAGTTGAACGCATAAATTTGTTGGGAGCTGAAATACTAGCTAAATATGCAGCTCCAACTCTTCATACATAGCAAATCTTACTCACACAGGTAGCAAGGTATGGCCTCGTTTATGTTTAAAGAGGCACTTTAGCCAATCTTATGACAGTTGACACATGCATAACTACTTATACTGAACATTGTCTTGAAACATGCAATCTTTTTATGAAGCGTATTCAATTATAGGATACTCCCCATCGATAGTGTTGCCGGAAGCTCCATGACCACACTTGATGAAGATCGTGGTTGGCTGACAATGAAAGAAAATCTCCACATTACCAGTGAATCCGTACAGCCATTTACTAGAAACCTATTAAATTATTAATTAGCATGGGAGAGATAAAGGAAGGAATTACCCTTATCAAATTATGTGACACATATTTGTTCACAGAGAGGCTTCAGCCTTCATAGCTCCACCATGTGTCGGACCACCCAATGGGCAATAATTTGTAGATCCTTCAC